GAACGTACAAGTATTTACTGATCATAAGAGTTTGAAGTACATCTTCACTCAAGGAGACTTGAATCTGAGGCAGCGGAGGTGGACAGATTTGTTGGCAGATTACGACTTAGATATAGTCTACCATCCTGGGAAAGCTAATCAAGTGGCAGACGCTCTTAGTAGACGTAAGGCTGATGTTTCAAAAAGGAAGGAAGTGGAAGAACTTGTCGTGACCTTGGCTACTTTGAGGTTGTGCACTACGTCTATTGATGAGGAGTCAACCAGATTAGAAGCCTTAGATCAAGCAGATTTACTGTGGAGGATCCGTGAAGCACAGCAAGTAAATGATGCGTTGCAGAAGTTGATCAACAAGGGAGTAGATGGATATCACACTACCGCAAATGGTACTTACTTGTTCAGGAACATAGTCATTGTACCCGACAATAAAGATCTGAAGGACGAGGTCTCAACGTTCTATATTCATCCGGGAGATACAAAAATGTATCGGGACCTGAAGCGTTATTACCACTGGGATGGGATGAAGCGAGACATCGCCGTGTGGGTTTCTCAATGTCAGACGTGCCAGTTGGTAAAGGCAGAGCGCAGAGTGCCTAGTGGGTTATTACAAGACTTGCTGTTACCAGAATGAAAATGGGATATGGTGACTATGGATTTTGTTACCGGGTTACCGAAGACAACCGGAAACAAGGATGCTATCTGGGTGATTGTGGATCGACTTACCAAATCGGCACATTTTCTAGCCATCAAGAAAACGGATGGAGCATATAAGTTGGCGCAGAGATATTTGGATGTTGTGGTACGATTGCATGGAGTGCCAGTTAGCATCGTGTCGGATCGTGACCCAAAGTTCACATCAATCTTCTGGCAGGCCTTTCAGAAGGCGTTGGGCACGAAAGTGCATCTTAGCACAGTTTATCATCCGCAGACTAACGGACAATCCGAGCGAACAATCCAGACACTTGAGGATAAGTTGAGAGCTTGTGTGTTAAACTGGGAAGGAAAATGAGGAAAGTATTTACCATTGGTTGAATTTGCTTATAACAATAGCTTTCACTCCAGTATTAGAATGGCTCCATATGAGGCTCTGTATGGGAGACCATGTCAAACCCTGCTGTGTTGGACCGAAGTGGGGGAGAGACGAGACTTAGAGCCGGAGCTGATTCAAGAAACAGTGGAACAGGTAGAATTACTAAAGGAAATACTAAGGGAAGCGCACGATCGTCAGAAGAGTTATGCGGATCAGCATAGGAAAGATTTGGAATTCGCAGTTGGTGATGCTGTGTATTTAAAGATGAGGACGTTCCGAGGAACCGATAAAAACCGTAAGCTGAAAAAATTGAGGCCAAGGTTCATGGGGCCGTATAAGATCATCGAGAGGATATGGGCAGTTGCCTATCGGTTGGACTTACCAGAAGTGCTCTCTGACTTTCATGATGTGTTTTATGTGTCAGTTTTGAGGAAAGTGGTTCGTGAACCAGAGCTGATCTTAGTCGTGCCGCATGTGGACGTGGGTCGAAACTTATTTGTTACGACTAAACCGGTGGAAATCTTGGATTGTCAAGAGTCTGAAATTCAAGGGAAGAAGACCAAGTTGGTTCGCGTTTGTTGGGAAAGAGATGGAATCCAGGAAGAAACTTGGGAGCCTGAGGTAGTTGGTGATGCTGTGTATTTAAAGATGAGGACGTTCCGAGGAACCGATAAAAACCGTAAGCTGAAAAAGTTGAGGCCAAGGTTCATGGGGCCGTATAAGATCATCGAGAGGATATGGGCAGTTGCCTATCGGTTGAACTTACCAGAAGTGCTCTCTGACTTTCATGATGTGTTTTATGTGTCAGTTTTGAGGAAAGTGGTTCGTGAACCAGAGCTGATCTTAGTCGTGCCGCATGTGGACGTGGGTCGAAACTTATTTGTTACGACTAAACCGGTGGAAATCTTGGATTGTCAAGAGTCTGAAATTCAAGAGAAGAAGACCAAGTTGGTTCGCGTTTGTTGGGAAAGAGATGGAATCCAGGAAGAAACTTGGGAGCCTGAGGCTGTGGTGCAGGCAAGTTATCTAGAGCTCTTTGGGGGCGTGGGTGTTCCACGGGATGTCGGTTTGAATTCGAGGGGGAATTCCCGTTTAGTGAGGCAGAATTGTGACATCCCAGGCCCAGGCCCACAAGAGAGTGTGCACAGAAGCCCATTTCCGATTGCAGGCCCACCAGCCCAAGACCTATTCCGAGTTGACCTAGGGTCGCTGGAAAATCACGGCCGCCGGCGCCGTCGCCGGAGTCACCGGGAACGTACCCCTTCGCGCCGTCTTCTCGAATCTGCTGCTATCTCTCAGCTTAGACTTCGTGGTTAGTAGATCTGAGCCTTTTTTGTTTTAGATCTAGATCTACTTTTTCAGATCTAGATCTAGTTTCCCGGATCTATTTTTTTCAGATCTGGATCTGTTATTTTTATAATATTCTTTTCCATTTGCTGTGGGATCGGACCCATGCCGTCGTAATGCCTAGATCCGTTCGGCGAGGATCCGCAATAATCAGATCTCCTTCCATTTCCGTTATCCACTTTTGATCTGAGACTAAGGTGAGGACTGGCGCGATCTATCTCTCTCAGATTCATAGTTGTTTCATAGTGAGTAGTCTTTTGTTAATCCGCGCATACCTGCGTTATATCTATATGAATACACGTATTTGGTTATTGATTGAATCTGATTAGTAGCGTTATATAACACTCTAGTAATTATTATTGTCCTGCGGTTGTTGATTGATGAACTTAGTATCATAGGTTGTTAAATGGAATATTGTTGATTGATGTACGAATAGTGTTTGCGGGTGTTTGCATTACATGGGAAAAATCACTTGTGGGTTGGGATAGAATGTAGGAACCTCTCTTGTTATGTATAGTTTGGATATGGAGGCGTGTGGGACTCCATAGTCCATCATTGGCGGCTTGACGAGCCCTGCGTCTTGAGGACGGACAGCGTGTGGGCCGCTACCTGCCACGGGGTGTGCGCCGGTGAGGGCATGGATGCACCAGTTAGGTCTAGTGATGTCATTTCTTGATCTATGAGTGTCTTTGGACGTGTTTACCTGTGTGTATTAGCTTAGGACTTTCGTCTGAAATGGTTATGCATGTGCGAGATGTATATCGTGGGTCCTTAGGACCCGTCATCACTGAGTATTGTTGGAATACTCATCCCTCTTTCCTCTGCAGGTGAGTGCGTAGACATTCAGGAGTAGTCTTGTGGCTTGGTGATGGTTTTGGGAAGATAGCGGGTTTTGTTTTATTATTCGTTATTTATTTTAAAGACGTTATTTGAATTTGGATTTATTGGTTAAGTTAAAATGACCTTTGTAAGACGTTTTGAATACGATCCTTGGGAATAAAAGTGGCATTGAACTAGCAAGTGGTTTCTTGTGGTGAAAGTTAATGCACTTTAACATGCTGTCTTGGTTTTGAAAGAGGCGGGTGTGACATAACCAATATAAGACTTGATAGCCTTTTTGTTAGTTTTAAATAGAGAAAAAACCTTGAAAATACATCAACATATCATATAAAATTAGCTAGAAAACGAATGAATTTTAATGGATAGTTCATTGACGTGAGTATATTTAAAACTAAATAAAGAAGGAAGATTGAGACTGAGGCCGTTGAAGGAGACAAACATAGTGTGTGGTTTGAAGCTAGTGTGGCGATTATATTAGTAATGAGTCTAACTCACACTCAAAAGCTAGCTCAAGAGTGGAGGATTGCCTCACAGTATATATATTGTCCACAAATTTCCCAAACTTCCGATGTGGGATATTTTCAACACGCCCCCTCACATTCAGAATTCTAAGTCTGAAGTGTGGAGTATAATTACGAATAAGGGCCACAATCAGGATTGTTGGGTATAACTTGGCTCTGATACCATATTAGTAATGGGTCTAACTCACACCCAAAAGCTAACTCAAGAGTGGAGGATTGCCTCACATTATATATATTGTCCACAAATCTCCCAAACTTCCGATGTAGGACATTTCCAACAGATTGTATCTTCAAACAGGTGGATTTGAGTACAATTGATAAAATAATCTTTGTGGTCAGTCAAAAAAAAACAGGACAGTATCCACCTATTTGTATTTTGATGTGTGTTTCAAACAAGGGTCTACGGAATATGATGGGAGAAAGCATGGAGAAACATCCTCACAAGTCACAACCAATGAAGCTAGTGAAGATTATTGACATGATTGTACACAACCATCTGAGTTCGATACAAGGGAGATCAAAAATATGAGGAAAAGTCTCATATACTGGTTTGACACATGAATTTAGTTTGTTTGTTCTCATGACTTTCATTTCCAAAAAAAAAAAAAAAATTGCTAGAAATATACAGAGTTTTTCTGACTTTCTAGAGTATACATAAACTAATAATCATTTTCTCTCTAAACACTCAAACTAATAGTCATTCTCTCTTTAAAAATACTTCAGCTATTATTTTTATTTTAAAAATCAGTTCTAAATAATTTTTTTTATTAATAACTTATAAAATAAAATATATTTTTTTGTTTGCCATCGTCCCTATCTTTGCAATTTCTAAAGATGATTTTTATGATTTTTATGTCTGTCCATTTTCTCTGCAACTTCTAATCGAGTCTTGAAATTTGGTTCATAAACCATAGATCTTTGATATGCTGCGGGACAGATGCGGGTAAAAAAAAAAATCAATTTGCAAAAAAGAAATAAGTTTTATGACGGTATATATTTTTACAATACGTAATGAATACGGATATCTTAATTTTATTTTGTGGATTTGTGAATTACTTTTTAATTATATAAAAAATATATATTAACTCTTTAATTTTATATCTGTGAACAGAATATATTTGTACGAGTTTAGTAACGAATTAACGATTACTGCTATATTAGAGATATTCGAGTCTACTTGTGTTCCATTAAAAAATGTTAAATACCGAGGAAAACGGTAGCGTATTGCTCCGTCAGAAAACTACATGCCGTTCATTTTTTCACAATGTAAACTCCTTGCTGTTTAACATATTAATTCACATCTGTGTAAGTGTATCGCGTGTTCTTCGAGATTTTTTTTTGTTGTTGATTCTGCAATCTGCAGCACTTCGTTCGTTTTCGATTAGGGTTAAGAATTTAGTGAAAGCTCCGCTTTGGTGAGCGATACTCTCTGATTCTTCATCGTTCCTGGTATGTGCTTTCGTGTAGTGCTATCCTAGTTAGGGTTTTGACTCATATGTTCGCAGAGTTTGAAAGTTTTTTTGCCCTTCAAAGCTTTCTGCAAGAATTAAGCTCTACGTTGGGATGTTTTTCTCTTCAGATTAAGCCGAAAACTGGAGAGTGGAAGCTACTTCTGTGGGAAAATGGCGAATAACCCTCCCCAATCATCTGGTTCCCAGGTACGAAACTGCCAAAGCTTGCTCTCTTTTACTCCGTTTCATCCTTCCACCGAACTCAAATCCATTCTATTGATAGCTTCTCACGCCTTACCTACAGAATCATACTTGATAGTTGTCAGAATCTAAGAAATTTGATATAGTGAAAGGTTTTGATAAAAACTACATAACCACAAAGTTTCTATGGGATCATAATCTGGCTGCTATATTTTGCTGAAAGATTTGTTTCAGTTATTGATTTCTAGTTTTAGTTAGTCTGTGATCTATTGGGTATGCTTTCAGCAGTTTCGGCCGATGGTTCCTGGTCAGCATTTTGTTCCTGCAGCTTCACAGCCATTTAACCCCTATGGACATGTACCACCAAATGTTCAAAGTCAGCCTCCGCAGTTTCCTCAGCCTATACAGCAGCAGCTCTTTCCGGTGAGACCAGGTCAGCCTGCGCATATTACGTCGTCCTCACAGCCTGTATCAGCGCCGTATATCCAACCGCAGCCAAATGCACCTCCAATGACTGGCTTTGGTACATCTGGACCTCCATTTTCCTCTTCATATACAGTGAGGCTTCTTGCTTTTCTTATATTTGTTCTTTGGAATGGGATGGCCTTTTATTTTATATGTGGTTCGTTTTCACTTTACTGGATTCTTTGTTCCTGCAGTTTGTACCACCATCTTATGGTCAGCAACAACCACCATCATTGGTCCAACCGAATTCTCAGATGCATGCAGCTAGTGTTGTCCCACCAGCAGCAAACTCCTGGGCTGCTCCTGTAAATCAAAGTACAACACTTGTTTCCCCTGTGCAGCAGACTGGGCAACAAACACCAGTCACGCTTCCCACAGACTCAGTAAGTGACTTTCGAAAACTGATCACACATGTTTAGGTGACTTGTATCGATGTATGTATATGCTAGTAATCGCTGAACTATCTGGTCCATCTCTTACTTAACAGTGAAGATCATATTATGTTGAGTTGTATTTATCATATAAAATGAGATGTCCCACATATGCCTTCTATCATTTATGGAATTTCAGTCTTTTTCTCTGTTCTATTTTGAGAGAATATTTATTTGAATGAATCGAGTGTTCCTCAACTTATTAGCAACGTTTAGTATATATACTCCACCTTATGTAGACTTATTAATTCTATATACACTTCCTCTAAATCTTAACTTAGCTCACACTCTTATAAGGTTTGAAAAGTTTGTTTATCTCTTACGTTTGAAGAACAGATACTGACCCCAGAATCCTGAAATCAGAGTGACCTAGGGGTTAATTCTAGAGAACCCAAAAACTCTCCCAAGCCTCAAGAGGCCCATAGCAAACCATAAAATACATGATACCTATAAACGTCATAACCTTTTCCTATTTATACTTAATTACGATTATCTGATGTGGTATTGTTGATGAACTCTTATCGAACTCTTTTTTTTTTTTTTGTGTGCAAATACTCTTATCAAACTCATTCTCTAGTATTTATGTATGCACTCTCTCATATACAGCTTTTCTTTGCAGCTCCGCTTACCTAACTCATCTGTGTTTTTTTTTTTTTTTTTTTTTTTTTGTTATTACACTTGTTGGATAGCAGGGACGCTTGACTCCGCAATCTGCATCTGACTGGCAGGAGCATAAATCCGCTGATGGGAGAAAGTATGTTACTGAACTACTCTTTTAAATTAAGGCCTATTAAATTCCTCCATGTCACTCTTTGTACGGTAGATTTGTGTTCATGCAAATCTCATTCGAATTTGATAATTTTAGCAGGACATTGTTCGTAAGCTTCTCACTTTTTGAAGGACTTCTATGCTCTTGTTTATTTTTCATGCAGATGTGTGTTTCATAGTTTTGGTTAGATGAAATCTAATACTTTTCCGCTTATCTGATAAGTACATTTCCTTTTTCTAGGTATTATTATAACAAGCAGACTAAACAATCAAGTTGGGAAAAACCTCTTGAACTGATGACACCACTTGAGGTAAGACTTACAAAGTAGTCAGTCTTTTAAGATGATTGTCATCCTACTGGTGGAAGCTAATTAGTGCTTGTGTGCCACTTCACTATTGATGTAAACGGTTGCATGCTTTATCTGGAAAATGTTGTTTTTATTTGTATTCTGTTTCATTTACATATTCTTTTCCACTGGTTTGGAGTCTCCATGATGACTGTGTAGATATACAATGACTGCTGCATGCTCATTTGAAGGCAGCTTTCACTTTATTGAAAGTGGCTACTATATTTTTCGTATTTTTAGTGCTTGTATCGCGTAGGTATTGCCAGACCATATTTTTGCATCTCTGTGTTTTTTTCTCTTTTCATTGTGAGATTTGATAAGTTTTCACTTTTTAGTTAGGCTTTAGTGGTACCGATGCTTCTCTACTTCGCATTAATTTATGTATGCGAATCCTTAGGTGACAACTCTATAGGCAGGTTGAGATCAAATTGCTAATGTTTTTCTGTTCTTCCTGTTCGTCCTTTTTATATTAAAAATATAATGTGTTTTTAGAGTCCGCCCATTTTTTCTATTTTAAAATAAATTCAAAAGTACTCTGTCCTACTCTCTTCTGAGGTATGCTGTGCTGTTTGAGTAGTGAGTTTTGTTCCCTCTCCGCTAATTTTGCTTTACACGACAATTTTATTGCATCATTTGGAAGAAGGATGAGATCTGAATGCAAACGTGAAACAGCTGGATTAGTTTGGGGTACTTTGAAACAAGCTGGTTGATAGACCTGATAAAATCCTGTTTTGGTTCCTTGCTTGAAGTTTCATGGACTTAATATGGTATTGCTCATTACTACTATGCATATATAGGAGTACATATATATATATATATTTTTATTTATCCGTTGGATCCTGTTACATTTTAATGACTGTCTGGGTTTCTGTGGAGTCGGACTTAAAAAAATTCCATCAATATGTATCTACTTATGCATGATTGTATAGTTACTTGCAACTTATAATCTCGTTTTACAGAGGGCTGATGCATCCACTGTATGGAAGGAATTTACAACAGCTGAAGGAAGGAAGTAGGCATCTTTAAATTCCATTTGGTCTTTATTTCTTGCTTATGCTTGCAACTGACTTATTGTTTTAATTCATACAGATATTATTATAACAAGGTTACTAAGGAGTCTAAATGGACAATTCCAGAAGACTTGAAGGTATGCCAGTTTATTTCTCTTTCGTATGCACATTCCCCAATGCGGAGACTCTATTAAACCTGGATAGTTGTTGTTTGCAGTTAGCTCGGGAACAAGCGGAATCAGCTAGTGCAAAGAGGTCCCTTTCAGAAGCTGGATCTACCTCTCTGTCTCACATCGCTGCATTGTCATCTGATCCAGCGGTTAGCACTACTGTGACCTCTGTTGTTCCCAACACATCTTCAACCATTTCTGGGCATTCTTCAAGCCCTATTCCAGCAGGTTTGGCTGTACCTGTCACCTATCCTACCCCCGTTGCTCCTGTTACTCCAACTTCTGCTGCTACTAGTGATACCGAGGCTACTGCAATGTACTATTTTTCGCTGGGAAGTCTTGTCTGATGGTTATACGCTCTATGAGGTCGTTGAATTTAGCTTGTGTTTCTTACCAGGAAATCGGATAATTTACCATCTCAGGGGGCAGATGATTCAAATGACGGAGCTCCAGCAGAAAACAATGAGGCATGACTTTGCTATTCCTGTTTTTAATGACTTGCCTAGAATCTAAAAGTCTAGTCGTATAAATTCTGCTTCCCTGCTTTCTACTTCAGTTTGACGTTAACAGAGGGCAATAATAACTTGTACAAGTGTTTGGTAAAATTATGTTCATTATTTACTGTACGGGTGATAAGTGGTGATTCTTGAATATATATGGTCAACTGTTACACCTTAATATGCTTTCTAATTACAGTTATTTTGAATTTTTTTTTGTTAGGCTGAGAATAAGGAAATGGCGGTAAATGGGAAAGCCAATCTGACAACTGGTGACAAAGCAAATATTGAGGAACCCATGGTATACGCTACTAAGCAGGTATTTTCTTGTCCTAGTTTTCTCGTCCTGATATATGTAGCTTTACGTTTTGTTGTGCAAGTCTAATTGTTTGACTTCTATCTATGTTTGCACCGTTGGTTATTTTTTTGTAGGAGGCCAAAGCTGCTTTCAAGGCTCTTTTAGAATCTGTAAATGTTCAGTCCGACTGGTCATGGGAACAGGTAATCTGGATGCAGATGCAAGTATTTGTGTCATTGCTTATGGGGACATTGATAGATATGACCTGTATTCTCTCCCTGACCATCTACTAGCTTCATTGCTGACCTTATCATTTCCTTGTAGGCAACGAAAGAGATTGTTCACGATAAAAGATATGGTGCTTTGAGGACACTCGGTGAGCGGAAACAAGCTTTTAACGAGGTATATATTCTCTTAGTTCTTAGGAATGATGTGCATGATGTGCAGATGCTTTTTTAAAATCCCTGTGTATAAAGCGTTGGTCGGTCTTTATTTAGGATCTAATTATTTTTTTTCACTTTGAGTAGCTGTATGCTTACATCTGATTGTCAAATATAATGTGCCAGTATCTTGGTCAAAGGAAAAAAGTTGAAGCTGAGGAAAGGCGAAGGAGACAAAAGAAAGCTCGGGAAGAATATGTCAAGATGCTAGAGGTATGTACCAAAGGAGTCAGAAGTTGGGTGTTTTGTCGGTTTAGTGTGACTGATGAGCTAATTTAGTTGTTATAATGATATTTTTTGACCTCAGGAGTGTGAAGAACTTTCATCATCCGTGAAATGGAGGTGTGGCTTTCATATAGTTCGAAAATCTTTGGTTGTTGTCGTTATTGTGTGTGTGACATATGTGCTAATGGAAACTATTTCCTTACCAGCAAAGCGATGAGTTTGTTTGAAAATGATGAGCGCTTCAAAGCTGTGGAACGTCCAAGGGATCGTGAAGATCTTTTTGACAATTATATTGTGGAACTTGAGAGGAAGGTAATCGTCTGGCTTCTTTTTTGGGTTTTATTTTTGGGGGTGTAGATTTCGCTGTTTGGTTAGATACTTTGCTCTGCTAAGAAGAACAAGCCATGGATATGAACATAAAGGGGACGAGGGAATTATTTTTTGCTGGTTTCTAGTATTACCATCCAAAATGTTCATTTTAATATGGAAAATTAATGCTTTTGGTGGGCACTTAGATTGGGGCTGAGAGAAGATCTGGTGCTTCAGAATGATAGCATTTTGAAGCTTCTATAGAGAATGTTTTTTTTTTGTGCTTTGTAGAAGGGGCAAATTCATTATTTGAATTGATATCATGAATCCTTTAATCCGCAGGAAAGAGAAAAGGCAGTGGAGGAACATCGGCAGAAAATGGGAGAATATCGGAAGTTTCTTGAAACCTGTGACTATATCAAAGTACATAATTATTTTTGAAGCTAAGTCCTGCAAACCTTTTTGTTTCATAAACATTGCCATAATGCTTTTTATAATACGTGTTTGAAGGCTAATTCACAATGGCGCAAAATTCAAGATAGACTGGAGGATGATGAAAGATGCTCAAGTCTTGAAAAGATAGATCGTCTGATTGGTTTTGAGGTAAGTAACTTCATCAAGGTTTTCAGGTTGCCACATTAGAATATTTTTCTTATGTTTGTTATCCCAGGAATACGTTGTTGACCTGGAGAAGGAAGAAGAGGAACATAAGAGGGTAGAGAAAGTAAGATCAATATTCAGAATTGTAACATCGAATTTGTTCTTATGAAGTCCAGTACTCATGCTTTCATTTTCATGTGGAGCTAGGAACATATTAGGCGGGCTGAGAGAAAAAACCGTGACGCATTTCGTACACTACTGGAAGAACATGTCGCTGCTGGCATCCTGACAGCCAAGACGTACTGGCCGGAATATTGCATTGAGGTGTCTGACCGATTTGGATCTTTGTTGGAAAAATTATATTTCATGTTAGATTCTTTTGCTCAGTTGTTTTATTGTACAGTTAAAAGAATTGCCCCAATACCAAGCTGTTGCCTCTAATACGTCTGGCTCAACTCCGAAAGACTTGTTCGAAGATGTTACAGAAGAATTAGAGAAACAGGTAATTTGGACTAATATAGTATTATACTTCTAGCTTTGCATGAGTTTGATAGTTGTGATAATCAAACCTGTTTTTTGTGAATTTGATTGACAGTATCATGAGGATAAGAGTTACGTTAAGGAGGCAATGAAATCAAAGAAGGCAAGTCAAATTTAGCTTGCATTTCTGCGTGTTACTTATGCCAAACTTATCTCTAATCCCTTTCTTTAACAGATTGCAATGGTCTCCTCGTGGATGTTTGAAGATTTTAAATCTGCTCTTTCAGAAGATCTTAGTTCTCAACCAATATCAGACATAAATGTAAAGGTACTGGCTCAGTTGTGAGAAAAACATTTGTCAGCTGATAAAGAAATAAACAGAAACGGTTATCTGAATTGTGTACGTTGGAAGGAATATAATAGTTACTGGATAAAACTTCTGTTTCTATATGTGTAGTGAGTTTAAATCGTTGTTCATGGCATGCTTTAACCCATCTGACACCTTCAAATGGGTTATTTTGCAACAATTTCTAGTTTCATCGTTGATGAGATTTACAGAATTAGAATTAACACTCAAAACTTTATAATTCTCGTTGACAAGATTGTCTTGATTACAACAAAGATGTGTGAAGGTGTTCTTTAAAAGCTGTACAGGCTCTAATTTGTTTATTTTCATTGTTTATTTTCAGCTTATATTTAATGACTTGTTGGAGAGAATGAAGGAAAAAGAAGAAAAGGAGGCCAGAAAGCTTCAGCGTTTGGCTGAAGAATTTACCAATCTGTTGCGCACTTTCAAGGTATATCTTACGCATTGTGACTCTGTTTTTTTGTCTGGATCTCCAGGACGTAAACATAACTTTTTCTTCTAGGAAGTAACCGCAGCTTCAAATTGGGAAGATATTAAACAACTAGTTGAAGAAAGTGAAGAGTACAGGTAAATAGTTTCTTGCTTCGAATAGGATTCTTCGTGGCTTTTCAAATAGTTCTTGTTAGCAAACTCCTATAATAAACAATGGAATAGGTCTTCGTATCATATTTGCCTTCTTAATGTCTTATTTCGAATTTCCTCAGATCAATTGGAGATGATAGTGTTAGCAAAGGGCTTTTTGAGGAATACATTACGAGTTTACAAGAAAAGGCAAAGGAGAAGGAGCGTAAGCGTGATGAAGAAAAGGTACTGATTCTTCTAGCCATGAAACTTATATGTCTTTTATGTAAAAAGTACCGTCTCTTGACACTTTGATTGTTGTGCACATTTTCAGAGTAGAAAAGAGAAGGAAAGGGAGGAGAAAGAGAAGCGGAAAGACAAGGAGAAGGAGAGTAGAAGGGAAAAGGAAAGGGAACGCGAGAAAGAGAGAGGTAAAGAGAGGAGTACTAAAAGGGAAGAATCAGATGGTGAGGCTGTAGATGTGAGCGAAGGTCACAGAGAAGAGAAAAGAAAAGGAAAAGATAGAGAGAGAAAACATCGGAGACGGCATCACAATTCTGATGAGGATGTTAGTTCTGATAGGGATGACAGAGAAGAGTCGAAGAAGTCGTCACGCAAACATGGTAATGATCGCAAGAAATCAAGAAAGGTAAGTCACTCTCAGCTTCAGTTCTAACAAGGGAAGCTTCAAAATTTTGATAAAAGATTGAAAACATTAAGAGGGATGGTTTTTTTTTGGCAGCACGCAAATTCGCCTGAATCAGACAGTGAAAGTAGGCATAAAAGACAGAAGAAAGAGCACCGGGAGAGTAGTCGTCGAGGTGGTAATGATGAGCTAGAGGATGGAGAGGTTGGGGAAGATGGTGAAATCAGACTTTAAAATCGCTGTGAAATGGTGATTACATTTTTACTTGTAGAGAGATATACATCTCCCAATGCGTTTTCTTGATTCATCTTTTTCACTGTAACGATATTTTTGTTTACTTTTCCTTTCTTATTAATTGGATATTAATACCTTAAATCTTCAAATATTACTGGTATTGTGAAGAACTACCCCAAAAGGACGTGAGACAAAAAAAAAATTTGCTCGAGACTTGTGGTTCTTTGTAGTTTTCTTATACATGCAAAAATAAATTAAACAACTGATGAGCTCAATATAATACTTCTTTTTAAGTAAAAATTTCCTTGATAATATCAATTACAGATGAAAACTTGATATATACAAACATCCGAAGGAACAAACTAAGGATCTAGAAAATTCGAAAATTATTTTGTGTGGACAACGCTCCAAACATTTGGGGCAAATAGGTTGAGACATGTGATCAGTGTTAGACAGAACACGTACCTGTCCACGGCCGTAGAAGGAAAACAATGAACCAGGTTTCATGTATACGTCTTTCCCAATCAAACATTTGATGTGTAAGGTGACACAACAATACTCATCACACATGTAAAACCCTTTTCTCAGATTTATTTTTCTTTCGCAAGTGTCACACCAATATGTCATGCTGCTTGTCTCGTCTCCATAAGAAAGAGTGAGGATGTGCTTGTCATGTATATACCTCACTTTTTGAGGTAAAGTAGCACACTTGAAACACAAAGCAACGCCATCGCACTCATCAATGCAACACTCATCAACACTCATCGTAATCTCTGCCTTTGTTCTCATCAAGTCTCAAATGATGATGTTCATGGCTGAAATGTCGTATGATTCCATCGCTTATCCTCACAAACGGCTCAACTTCTTCTTCTTCAATTTCCTCAGGCTCTCCCTCAAGATCTATGCCATCCCGCACATTGCTCTGCGTGGCACACCTTGAATGTGCTGCGTACAAACAACCGTTCTTCACGCAGGAATAAACCCCGTAATCATTGTTGATCTCTTTGCGACAAACTCTACAAAACCAATCTCCTTGGTCAATAGAAGGTGTAAAATAGATACGATGGAGATGGCGAGATATCCTTATGACCCGTGGCAATTGGATACAGTTTAGATGAACCACAAAGTCACAAGGGGGACACATATAAATAGGGGAGCTTGAATCGACTAAAGCACAGACGTTGCAAGTTAAGGAAGCCTGTATTGGAAAGAGAGCGAGTGTATGCTCATGCCACTTGGGAGGGGGTATATATAAGACTGGTGCTTTCTCCGAACAAGCTATGTTCATAGCATAATCGCATTTTCTGCAATAATAAAATACCCATAAGAGATTTTCGTCACAGCAATAGCATTTCCTGGTACTACGGGCCGGATCCAACACAAGCTGAAGAGAATGTTTCGGATGAAGAAGGTGTTTGATCTCAAGTGGAGCCTTTTCATATTCTTGATGGTACTCGCCATTGCAAAAGAAGCAGCGGAAGTGGATAACGTCTTCTGTTAACTTGAATTTTTCCCATTGTCCAATGAAACCGCTCCATCTCTCACCTATAAACTTTTCCCGGGGGCAAAGAAATCTTCCTTCAAGGGGATATGCTTCTTCTTAAGGAAATAAGTTTCTTCAACTTTGAGTTCATAGAGATGATGATGAAGACTATTTGACGGATGAGTGATATGAGCTCTGGTTCTGGCTTGAGTCTCAATGTTTTCTCAACGAGTTTTGCGAACTTCAGATCAGTCTCCTGCTTCTGGTCCGGATACAAAGAGATTTTTTGAGAAATGAGTGATATGAGCTCCCACAGAGGCTTAGGCAAAGAATCCAGATCAACAGAGCTCAAGAGGGAGACTGTTTGACTAACGAGTGACATGAGCTTCGATTCCGGCTTAGTCAGTGATATGATCTTCGACTCGAAATAATGATCCACAATGCTTTGGAGAGCCAGTAGTTGGGAAATGAGTGAAATGAGCTTTGACTCCGAATCTGAATCCATAAAGTTTGCCAGAGAGATGGATAATTTTGAAAGATATTTTGAGAATGTGAATGATCTCTATATGGGTATATGTATGTTTCTGAATGCTATTATTAATTCTAAGCCAGAAGTAGTTGAAGAAACTTAAATTTGAGTGGTTGCAATTGTTCGACTATGTTTTTTTTTCTATCTTACGCACTCAAAACAGATGTATGTACTGTAGTATGTAAGAAAAAATAAACAGTTCCGGTTTAATCTTGAGATGAGAAATTTACCAGCTGTCCCCCGTTACTTTTAACAAGTTCCATTTTAGTCAGATTTAGTGGGTTAATTGTTCCTAATCTGGAAGCTGTGAATTTTGTCTGGTTTCCTAATCTTTAAGCACAATCTGTGAATTCTGTAGATCTCTAGTTTTTAAAGCTCTGAGCTATGTTTTAAAGTTACCTCGGAAAAAGAAGAAGGAGAAGCTTCTTCTATAGCAAAAACACAGTGTAGTTTACTCATAAACCTGCAGCAAAATTGGCTATTACAGACTCTACTATTGCCCCAACAGAGATGGGAGTTGTTTAAGGACCAAAATCAGCCCATCATATCATTTTTCGGTACACAGTTGCAACCTCACACCTCTATGAGTTCTTCTGCTGAGGCTTCAACATCTAATGCTACCACAAAATCTGTTTCAAACATTTCTCAACTGACTGGTAAGTTATCATGCTTCTATTTTACTCGCATAACCCCTCTATAATCTTCATAACACAAGTACTGTTTCTCTACCAAATGGACTATTTGTGAATATTGCTAGATTGGGAATGAATGATTAGTCTTTAGTGAAAAGCTGACTCTTCGGGATGATCTGTACATCCCACAATTCAGATTTCATCTCCTGTATCAGTAGTTTAACTAAATCACTTTCTTGTGGAGTACGGATTTTATTTTAAGAATTGTGAAATCCAGAATCTTAGAGCAGCTTTATGGGTAGAGATACTTATATAGAAAATTAATAAAAAAACATTTATTTATTTGGTTCAATTAATTAAATATTATTAGTTAAATAGTTTGTTACTTATCTATTAAATCTTATTAGTTAAATAAATTAATATCCTAGTCTCAAATTAGACTTGTTCAAAATACGATACAAATCGATAAGATAATATTTAGTTAGGAAAATCTATATAAATATATGGTTCCATTAATATCATAAATTAATAATTATCATAAAATAATTTTATATAAATATATAAATATGATTATTTACTAAAATATAAATATATAATGGTTTGGTTTTTTTAAAATTGGAATAATTTTATGGTTTATCTATAATTTAAAAGTGAAATATTTAAAGATATTATTAACTTTTAAAATCAATATAATTTTTAATTAATTATTAATAAATAATTTATTTAATTCCAAACCGATAAATTTATAATTCTATAAATGAATAAAATATTGAAATCACAATATTATTAATTTATAAAAAATTTACAGTAATTAAATTGATTTATTTAAAGCTAACAAACTAAGAAAAAAAAAACAAGAACAAATCTTACTGAAAATTTGATATTATATATGATAAATCAAACATTAATTAAAAAAATAAACAATTAATATTGGTATTATCTTACCCAAAAAAAAGTAGGCAGTAATGATATATATCATATTTGTCATCTAAGAGTCATATATAAATTAAACCATAATGTAATATATCATATTTTTTTATATAGTAAATCCGGATATTAATAATATATATCATAATAATTTCGGAAATTCGTCATTATGACATTTTTTCATTTAATTGATGTTTGTGATGAAAACACAATCGTGCAATTTAGTGTTTGTTCAGTAAGAATAGGAAACACCGTCATTTTTTTTACAGCATTTGAAAAACACTTTAAAAAAACTCCCATAAGGAATAAAAACAAAGAAATTATCATTGTTCAGAAGTTGCAGATGAAGTTTCTACTGAAATGAGTGCTTTGACAACAATCACTCATAAACTCTTCAATCTAATAGAAGAGAGAGAAGCAAGACAACAACAAGAAACAGAAAAAAAAAAGAATAAAAAAGTTTATAATCTGGAAGAACATGTTCGTTACAATGCGATTAAAGTAATTCACCAATTAGGATTGTATAGAATTAACTAGTTTCTCAGTTTAATGTTAATAAAAACTAAGAATATCATTTCAGTTTTTTTCAACTAAACATAGACATATAATAACCAAAAAGATTAGCTTAAAGTGTTTAGTATGAAATTCTCAGATTACAATTTAGTGTCTGTTCAGTAACGTCGCTGAATTTATCATCTCTGTTTACTTTTAGTATGTAGATAACATTGCATATGTGTGATGTTCGATCTTTATGTTACGACAATTAATTGTTGATATAGTTTTCTCTTTGAATCTGTTGAATGTTTTACATCTTTCATTGCTTAATTTTTTGGTTAAATCCTGACTTATGTTATCTCAATAGTTCTTTATATCCCTAGTACACTTGTGATCCTTAATGCTTAATTTGATCCCACCATTTCAGTCTATTAACATTTTTTTTCTTTCTTTCTTGGGCATTTTTATGTTTATCATTTTTTGCTTCAACAGTCCTTGATGTGGATGCTAGACATTTTAATTTATTAATTTTTTTTTGCATTCTCTCTTTATATATTTTTTAGAAAAAACTCTTTTTGGAGTATTTTTCATACATTTCTGTTAGAACATCTAACCAAAAAAAAATTGTTGAGAAATAAAATTGATATTTTAAAAAACAATTTTTGATTTAAAAAAAAACCTTTGAATATATATATAATATACACCTATACTAATATTGTGTAGATAAATTTGGCCATGACTTTTTTGCCGGAAATCATGGGTTTGCAGATTTGACAAACACGAATTCGTAAATTTTACGGGTTTTACAAGTTTTAGCGGGTTTTATAAGTTTTAGCAGAAAATATAATTTTACGAGAAAATGCCGGTTTGACAAGAAATGTGTTTTTATAGATTTAGCAGAAACACATGATTTTAAAAATTTGGTCCTATATCATTATTTTACAGATTTTATGGGGTTTACGGGAAAACACGGGTTTACAGAATGCGAATAACGCAATTTTTTGGATTTTATCGATTTTACAGGTTTTAGCGGGAAAATATAGTCACACGGGAAAATGCGGATTTGTGGGTTTGGAAACTCGATTTTGCAGGTTTGGAAGAAACACATGAGTTTAAAAATTTAGTCGTAAAACATGATTTTACAGATTTTACAATTTTACAGAAAATATAGGTTTGTGGATTTGGCCAGAAACGTTATTTTACGGATTTAATGATGTTTACATGTTTTGGCGGGGTTTATGGTTTTGAAGAAAAATGCAGGTTTGTGGGTTTGATGAGAAACGCAATTTTGCAAGTTTGACAAAAACAGTAATTTTAGAAATTTGGCTATTAGAAACGGTTTTATGGTGTTGGGAAAACATAAATTTTGGTTTGTTAAAAATTGTGGGTTTACAGTTATAGAAGGAAAATACGATTTGATGGAAAATGCTATTTTTACAGTTTCTAGAGGAATTCCTGATTTTGGTACAACAACATGATTTTAGTAATTTTTGATTTTGTTAAAAAAATGTGGGTTTACAGTTTCAGCACGAAAATAATGTTTGAAGGAAAATGCTATTTTTACAGTTTCTATGGGAATTCCTGATTTTTGTACAACAACATGATTTTAGTATTTTACGGGAAAATGAGGTTTTTTATTTCGATTGGAAAACTCTGATTTTATGGTTTTGACAAAGAAAAAATTTGATTTTAGGGTTTAAATTAAAAGGTGTTTTGGTCTTTTAATTTTTGAGATTCAAATGCTGCATTCAAACTTTACTTTTTTTTAGCATCTTAAATATTCAAATTTTAAAATATTATAAATTTGTATCTACAGATATTTAAAAGAAAAATATTTGAACATTTACACGCAAAAACAAACAAAATCTTAGTAAATACTGAAATCTTAATTACAAACAAATAAAATCTTTCTTACATTATAAAATATAATATTTTAAAAATATTTGTTATAAAATTTAACTGGAAATTTGCTAATCAAAATATTTTTTCTTTTAAAATCAAGCCTAAATAATTTTAAGAACATAAAATCTTAATATAAAAATAGTTTATATAATCTAATAAATTTTTTTTGTTTAGACCACAATTTTAGATTTAATAATATAAACTAATTGTTTTGAACAAAAATTTAATATAAATCAATTTTTGGTATGGCTTATGAAAAAAAATCTGTGCAACTGGAGAGTCAAAAATCTAGTGGCAGATTAATCCGACATACAAAAAATCTACTAAATAAATGAACGTTATGCAAAAAAACGTAGCCGACTTAACCTCACTCTAAAAGTTTCCTTTTTCCCATATCTCTCTGCAAATTTCCATTTTTCAGTTACTGATCACAATCTAAATAAAATCCTCCGCACCAGCAGTCCAGATCTAATTCTGTAACTATAAAACTTTCCTATTCTCCACACTACAGTTTCCTTTTTCTCGCTCTCTATCACAAATCACAATCTGTTTTTTCCATTCTCTCTCGCTGCAATTTTTGTTTTCCAAAGTGATTTCAGTTTCGAATCTCAAGAAACCCTAAAGAGCAAAGATGCAATCGAATGAAGAATTCGTGAAATTTCTAGGCGAAGGTTCTTACGGCTATGTCCATCTCGTCAAATACACGAACCCCGACGGCTCCTCTTTTCACGCCGCCGTGAAAAACTCTTACACCGACGACGACGACTTCGACAATCTTCAGAGAGAGTTACGGATCCTACTCCAACTCAGAGGAAATCAGAGAATCATCGAATGCTTTGGAGACAAACTGGAACAAGGTCTCAGCTCTTACGGGAACACAGTCCGCAAATTGCTTCTCGAGTACGCACCTGAAGGCAGTTTAAACGCTTTCATGGAGAATTTCGCCGGCAGAGAGCTTCCTGAAGCGATGATTAGAGACTTCACTCGCATGATTCTCGAAGGTTTGGTCTCGATTCACCATCACGGCTATGTTCACTGCGATCTCAAATCGGACAATCTCCTTGTGTTCCCGTCGAGAAATTCATCGTACGAGCTGAAGATTTCTGATTTCGGAAACTGCCTAAGCGTCGGAGAAGTTCCTGATTACTGGGGAATTGATTCTCCGTTCGTGGGGACTCCAATTTACATGCCACCGGAGTCTCTCCGTGACGGCGTCGCCAGGAAAACCCTAGATCTGTGGTCGGTGGGATGCTTAGTCCTGGAGATGTACACAGGTGTGGTTCCATGGGAAGGTGTTAAACTCAGTGATCTCAAGGCTCGTCTCCTTGATGGTGAAGCTCCAGAGATTCCTGATTGTGTGCCTTGCGATGCACGGAATTTCATTGAAACGTGTTTCTCTAGCACACCTGAGGAAAGAGGAAGTGCGTGTGAGTTGTTGTTTCATCGGTTCTTGCGTCGTCTAGAAGAAGAAGAGCAGACTGTCGCTGAAGAGAGGCGAAATTCGATTCTATTGAAGTTAAAGCTGAGAATCAGACGAGCTTCCAAGAATGTTACAGAGAAGAAGGAGAAGCCTCTGAAACTGATGTTTCTTCCATCAAAACCTCCACAGTTGAAGAGCACTCTGAACAGATTCTTGAGGTTGAAAATTATGCCTATGAAGCGCTCTGGTTCCAATTTAGTTTCGGTTCAGTAACGTTGCTGAGTTTATCATCTCTGTTTACTTTAGTATGTAGATCAAAGTACATGAGTCTCAGGTTTCAATCTGTAAAGTTCCCTTTAAAGAATTTGATGTATATTATACATTTTTCCTACTTAAGTTTTTGGTATCATCCATACTTATGTAATCTCAAAACAGTACTTTCTTTATATCTCTAGTAGACTTGTCATCCTTACAAAAATGAAAAAGTGGTGATGATATTGATATGTGCATATTGAATCTCAAATCTCCATACGCAAGCACGTTCATGGATGTTAGGTTCCTTCACCACCGTCTTATTAATGAAGTCAACAACTGCAAACAACATATACGAACAGACATGGTGAACATATGTAAGAAAAAGGCAAACTCCAACATCTGGTTTTTGGTATTACTATGTATAACAACAACATACAAAACACCTAATGACCAAAAACTACAGGATGATGTTGACTTTTTCAGAATTAGAGAATGGATATGGCATACCTCAAATAGTTCGAAGGCGCTGCCTTTTCGATATGTATCATCTTTCTTCTTGGACTCTGAAGGAAGCACACTGAACAATAGAGCTCTCCAACCAATAAGTAAAACAGCAGTACTTCCCATTGTCACCAACATAAAGCTGTAAGATGGGATGTGACCGGATGAGGTTGACCGAATGATCATTCCAAGCTGCAAAGAAAGGAAGAAGAAGCTTAAACAGTTTAGTGGAACACATGAACAGATAGTTAACAGAGACGACAACATCATAAAACAAAGCTGATAAGGAGAACATAAACTTCATTATATACATTTGAGCCAGAGATAGATGAATCATGTACCAAAAAAACCAAAGCGTCATTTCAGTTTTCTCAGCCAAACATATACACACATCGCCAAGAGGATTAGCTTAACCCGTTTAGCAGACACATTGGGCATATAGTTAAACAGATAACCTCCTAAAGCATATATCAGTTTACTTTAAACAAATCTACTTCAGAAGAATTATACAATATACATAACTGACATGAACATATAGTTAAACAGATAACAACCTACAACAACAAGCTGATTAAAAAAGCTTCATTTTCAACCAAATGTAGCCAAATATAGCCAATAGGATAAACTCAAACAATTCACTAAGACATATGAACATATAGTTAACAGATAAAATCCCAAAGCTACATCAATTGACAAAGAACAAATCTACTTCAGAAGCATTACACAACAATGGAACAGCAGCAAAGGTGGCTGATGTAGAGAAGAACTAAAACAAGCTGTTTAAAGAGAACATAAACTTCATTAGATGCATTTGATCCAGATATAGATAAATCATGCACCTAAAAACCAAGAGCGTCATTCAGTTTTTTTCAACCAAACACATGAACATATATAGTTAAACAGATCAACTCAAACAGTTTAGTAGACACAGAGCCAAAAAGATAAGCTTAAACATTTTAGTAGACACATATAGCCAAAAAGATAAGCTTACACAGTTTAGTAGACACAGTAACAGATAGTTAATCAGATAACATCCTAAAGCTACATCAATTTTCTTCAAACAATCTACTTCAGAACAATTATACACAACAATGGCCCAGGAGCAAAGATGGTTAATGTAGAGAAGTACTAAAACAGGCTCATTGAAGAGAATATGAGATTCATTTTTCAGCCAAACATAGACACATTGTAGCCAAAAAATATCAGTAGATTGCTAGTTTTCAGCTTTACCGGAACTCCGAGACCCCAAGATTTTGCGGCTGCAACCACGGCTTTCGACTGACCCTTCATTCCTCTCCCTTCCTCCGCATATCCTCCCAAGAAATAAGCACTCAGAAACCATCCTGCCAACACAATTTTTCACATTCCATGTTAAAACAAAGCTTCTGAAACAACTCTGACACAAGATTCATAGCTGAGAGAAAGGAACAATACCAGCAATGAAAGGATCAGCTGTGTGAAGAGTGTCTAAGCTAAACACAGGGAATCCATGGCTGAATCTACCAATTGCAGAGAAGAGAAGCAAAGCTAAAACATCTCCACCAGCAAGTACCGCCACACGGCTGAAGAAATCACACACACATGAACAAAAAATCAAATCAAACAAACGAAACGCAAATCCCTCACCCACATTTCTTGACTGAAGCCTTTGAATTTGTTTTGTGGAAATAAAAATCAAAACTTGAAATGAACGAAAACAACACAAACGAAGCGCAAATCCCTCCTTACCCCCATTTCTTGATTGAAGCATTTGAATTGGGTTTATCGAATTGAATAACGCCTTCGAGAGGAACGTTCTCTTGACCAACGAAAACTGTGTCGTCTCCCCTAGATGGGATTTGAGGAGCTGAGGTAGATGGTGTCGACGATTTGAGGCTTCCGTTTGAGTCGGAGTTAGAGAGAGTGAGGACGACGCGTGGCCGGCGACGGCGAGTATTCGCGGCGGGAACGAGGCCGAGCCATGGGTCGGAAGGAGGAATACGAGGGTTGGGTTTGGTGATGAATCTGACGGCGGAGACGGGTCCAGTGGGAGTGCGAAGAACCAGCATTTCTCGTTCTATTTACCTAAAAGCTCCTTATGAAGCTTATCGTCCGCCACTCATCTGTATACTCACGCAGTCTTATCATCTTTATCATCATCATCTTTAATTCTGTTTTTTGTTCTTTCTAAAGATATTCAAATAAAAATATAACTCGTATAGTATTATTATTCCTCATTTCATATTATTCATCATTTTCTCGAGTTTATTACTTTCAAATGCACTTTCTGAAACTGATACTACAAAAACAAATACTTTCACTAATTTAAACATTTTTTTTATCTATAATAACAATTCTACTATTTTCTAATATTTTTTAGTTTTTGATAATAAACAAAAACCATGGCTACATAATAAAAAAATAAAAAATATATATTTTATAAATCTTTTTTTTTAAATTATCTAACAACAGCGATAAATTGTTTTCTTTTTATATTTTATCAATAACCTAATATCTACTAATTTGATAATTGAAAGTTTCAATCGGTGGTGATTTTCAGTGGTTCTTAACTACCGCGAATAGATATTTCAGCTAACAAATCAGAATTTTTTTAATTGATTACCTTTTAATAGTTTTTTAAATTCGAAATTAAAGATTAGATTGTAGATCCATCATAGTTGGATAAAAACCATACAAAAATAAGCAAATCCGACAATAATTGCGAAAATAAAATAAAAGACGGCCGTAAACTAGATAAGAATGTTGCAGAGCCAAGAAGGAGACGAGGCAAAATTGTAATTTCTGATTATTTTAAGCAAAAAATCAGGTTACCGTGGACAGGTAGCTATGGACAAGGTTTATGTGGACATGTTGTTGTGGACAGTGTGCTTTTGAGGACATGTTGTGGATATATGTTCTTCTTCTAAGTGTGAGGTTGATATGTGAGGGTGTCGTGGACATGTTTATGTGGACACGCTCTAATAGATACAACGACTCGATGTACACGGTTTGATGGACATAACTCGATGGACACGTTCTAATGGATACAACTCGATGGATACATATTGGTTGATAGATTGTTAAATCTGGCTTAAGTAGATAGCTTTTTTGGTTGATACTACTCTATTATCGATTATAAGACAATATGATTTGATAGACATTAAGTGATAGTCACAATAGAAAATAACAAGAATCTAGTACACAAATTCATAGTTTCTGCACATCAGCATCTATCCATTCATTCCTCTACAGAAGCATGTGGATGAGTCCATTGTGCATAAGCTTTTATCTATGGGTCATTTGTGTCAATTGTCCATATATATGCATCCACAGGCCTGAGTCCATATGCTATTTTCCAAGTAATTCGTGGACAGGACTTTGTGAACATACGTATATATGATGTTACCGTCTTCACCTCTTCACACTATCTTGTTTTCTCCACTGTCCATCTTCTTTGAAACCAAAAAGATTATATCCATGTGTGTGTGTCCATAATAGGGATGCTTTTCAAACTTTCTTGTTTTCAACATTGTCCATCTTCTTTGAAACGGAAAAGATTGTGTCCATGTGCGTGTGTACATAATAGGAATGCTCATCTAGTGTGCCGTGAGAGGATGTTCTTTCCTACTGTCGATTAGGTTGTGTGCATAAATGTATTAACATTTTTCTACTGCCAGTGGACAGAATGTCGTAGACAGATGGATGTGGACATATTCGTTTCTCAGGAAAATTTGTGAGTGTTGGGATTTCAGAGATAGATTTGTGAGAGAGGAAGCTACGTAGAGAGATTGAGGTGTGGACACCAACGCGTGGACAAGAATGGTTAAGTATCTATAAGAAAACAGATTATGGTTTCATGATGAACTTGTATCGACGGAGAAATTATTTTTCCATAAAGTTTTGTATACAATAGCTCTGTCACAATAACTGCTGCAATTTAATTATCTATCAGATTCAGAGATTAACACAGTTTCTTTAAAATTACTCTGTAAGTTAAAAAGAAACTCAGATCTGATGTGGAGTGAAGAAGCAGCCATGGCAAAGAAAAATCGAGTTCTTCCAAATCATGGAAAGCGGGGGAGGAGATCCCTTAGGAAGCGGCAGTGGAAGAATCAGCGGTGGTGGAGAAGCGGCTTCCGAATCATGGGAAGCGGTGGAGAAGAATCAGGTTCTTCTGAATCATGGGAAGCAGCGGTGGAGAAGTAAAAGTTTTGGGAAGAAGAAATCAAATTTTTTTCTTCCTTTTGCAGTAAGGGTAAAAATGGAAGAAAAAAAACACACACAAAAGTGTCTTAATTGTCAAAAGTGTCTATTTTGTAACTTGAAACTCATAAAGTGCCTCTGAGCGTAAATAATTCTATTTTCTCACTCTTCTTTTTTTCCTCCTTATCTCTAAAAAGTAGATCTAGGTTTTTGTGGCTACCATGATCGGCTCTGGTGGCTTAAACAGCATCAGAGCCAAGTTTCTTCTTAGTTGCTTACTTTTATGTTTGTCTGTAGTAGGTCTAAGGCTCGTTGATGGATCATTTTGGTAGAAAGTTGTTTCTTTGGATTAAAAAGCTCAGATCTGACCATATCTAAGTTACTATGAAGGGGAAATCACCGGATCTGGGTGTCTACTTAGTGATGGTGACCTGCAATCTCTTTTTGCAGATTTTGACTTAGATCTGTTTCGTTTCGAGGGTTCTTTTTCCTATCCATTCTTCTCGGTCTAGTTATCGGGTTCGTTTTAATTGAAGTTGTAGTGTGTATCTATGGGGAGTGGCCGATTTCTCAAGTTCTTTCTGTTTGCATTTTGCTTCGGTTTCTCTAGCTGTGTTCAGCTTCGGTATGAGCATCTAGTGGGTGAACACGTTTTCTCTGTCGTTGAAGTTTTAGGTCTCGGGGCAGGTTTCCCTCGGCCAGCAGTTTGTTTGTCCTTCTTCGCCTCTCAAATAAATTCTTCTATTGGTGATGCAGTTCCGCAGCTTTTCTCCGCTCCTCGGGTTATAGGTTGAGTGTCATTGTTTAGAAAAACTCGGTGTTGTTTGGTTCGTGGTTGCTGGTTTTATTCTTTGCTGATCTTCATTGTCTTTGTCATTCGTTTGGTTTCTGTTCTTAGCTACGTGCCAGGAGGGCAGTGGATTCTTTTGCATTCAGTTCTTCCCCCTATGGAAGAAGCCTCCCACGTTGGTGTCTCTTTTACCTTGAGGTCTCGTTACTGTTGTGGAGCAAGGTATCTGGCTGTCCAATTTTTGTTAAACGTTTGATTTTTCTTTTCAATTTTGGATTTGGGGGTAAAAGGCTTACTTGATTCGTGTTATATTTCGTTTTTTCAGTATCTCATCCTGGTTTGATTAGGGTCCCCTCCCTGTGCAGGTTAAATGGTTTCTGTGTCTTTGACAGCCGGCTTATGTATTCCGATTTGTATTTCATGTCCGTTCTTAATGTTACTTTCAGATGACAAAAAAAACTTGTATAGAGTTTTTCCCAATCAAAGTTTAGTGGGTTCTATTTCTACTGACAATTTCGTTTAAAAAATTTGTTCAGTTACTGAAAAAGATTCGTAAATTTAGTTCAATAAGCTAACTCAGTAAACTGATTATTAAGTAAAAGGATGTAATAATTATATTATTAGTTTTCTCACTGTATTATTAGTTTTCTCACTCTTATTTATATAAGTTTGTATAAAACACTTTTTCTCATTTAGGTTATTTACATTAAATATCATTCAATTTCAAACTAATATTAACATGATTATTGGTTATACTGTATAAATGATATCATTTACCATAAAATTTTGTAAAAATAACAATGTTCATTCAATAATAATATTTATATATGATCACTAATATTATATAAATTTAATGGTTAACTATGTAATTACTACTATAATTAATAGTGACACGATAACATATTATATATCTACCTTATATTAATGTGATAATATATACACTTTCACATGATATTGTTAACGTGATAACATATCGTATCTATGTATAAAATTAACTTATAATATACTGAAATTTTAAATATCTGAATAATAATTATATCAATATAAAAAATATAACAATAGTATATATATAAAAACATTTTTATGCAAAATATATTAACATAACCTATATTAAGTAGGATGAATTTATTAAATATACATAAATAACTTAATAATTATGTAAATTGTAATAGATAATTGAAAATCAGAAAAATAACAGAGAGAAAAAAATTTTAATCTAAAAATATCCTTCTTATTTGATTTAATTACAAAAATGCCATTAGACTAAAAACTATATTGGTGATATGAAATCTCGGCAACACTATTCACATTTCGTCCGACAATACTGATTACTAATTCTCGATAACAATCTTCGTCTAATTAACGTGTTAAACCAATTAACATATTGTAAAATTATCAAGTTAAACAAATTATAATATAACAAAAAGTATGCAATTGCCATACTGTATTAGTTATCATATCATAAATTATCATATTTACGAGTTATCAAATCATAAAAAATATAAAAAATAAAAAGTATCATATTAACATTATTAGTATATAATAAAATATATAATTAATTAATTAACTAACTTTGTTAACTTCATAAAATTATGCTAATTGTACTGATAACTAGTAAAGTGACTTTGTTATTGGTTAATTTACACTGTTAACACTATCACTGTTATTAACGTTGTTATCATCATTTCTGTTGCCGTTACCGTTATCAGCGTTTCCAGCATTACCATTACAACCGTCAACATTTTCATTCACACTTATCATCATCATCGTTGTCATCTTCACCATTAGCATTACAGTTAATATTATCACCATTCTTTATCCTTCTCCTATTCTTTCTCCTCCTTTTTTATTTTCTTCTTCAACTCCTTCTTTTTATATGTATTAGAGAGAGAAAAACAGAAAAATATAATTAATCTAAAAATATGAGGGTAAAATAGGATTTAAAAATAATTTACCCTGACCAATAGTAACTTGATGAGAGAGAACTAATTTCCACATTTATTAGTTACTATTTATTCATATTACTCCGTCAGTAATAGTACAAAATTAACATGATAAAAATATATAATAACAAGTAATACAATATACAAATTATTAATAATAATAATTTACTGACATTATCACCATCTTTCTCCACTGTTACCACCACCACTGTTACCGTTTTCACCACCACCACCACCAATATCATCTACTATTAACTTCCATCACCATCTTTCACCATCTATTTCTTTCTCCATCATTCTTCTTTTTCTCTTCTTCTTTCTCTTTTCTTTTTTTATCATTTTCTGGAAAAAAAGGAAAATTTAATATTAATAAAAAGCAAAGATATAATCTAATTGAGTCTAAAATACTAATTGTCAGAAAACATGCTTTTATGTTAATTAATTTTCAAAACATTAGACACCCTGCATTACAATAACTTTATTTAGTTTTAGAATAATTTATAAACTTTATAATTAAAAATTAAATACATTTGGTATATTTAGATTTTAAATAATAAAAATCCTAAACTTTCTTAATAGACATCCTAAATTTTCTTCTTTCTTCTGTCTTTTTATCTCGGAAATGAAGAAAGAGAAATGTAATATTAATAAAAAGTAAGGATATAAATATTATTGTGTCTGAAACAGTAGTAGTTAGAAAATATGCTTTTGTGTCAGTTAATTTCCAAAACATTAGACACTCTACTGTTTTAATGCTGCAAATAACGTTATATACGATTTTGGTGGAATCGACCATATTTCTTTAGTTAATGTAGTGTTTTCAAAACTTTAGATAGTTCATGTAGTTATTAGCATTGATTCATAGATCATATATGAATTGTCAAAAATTTGTTAGTTTGTAGGGGAATTGGTAGTTTTCCTTTCATGATTCATCTTTACGTCCGAATAATAGCTAGACCAGCAGTCGAACCTACAACCCGATCAAAGAAGTATACATTTAAAAATAAACATATGAGAAAATGGATTGAGAAAAAAAAATGTAAATATGAAAAGAGATATGGAAATTAGTTGATGCTTGCATCACAACCTTTACAGTTATGATACCCACATCTTTTTTTTTTGTTGGTCAAGATGCCTACATCCTCTTTAAACCCTTATTTATTATATTTTTTGTATCTTTTCCATCTAGGCTTTACATGTATTCTTTGTAAACCCTCTAGACAGATGTGATTATTAAATCCACATCCTGTATAGACTTTACATCCACAAGTCCAACAGTGTAAACCAATTGTTTACATTTATTCCCTCAATCATAGCATCATTTGGCATAATCTTACACACCAAATTCAATAGTGATAGTGATTGTGACATTTTAGTATATGTATAGTGGTGATTATACAAGAGGAGGCAGATGCTCACAATGCCATTGATGCTTTCTTAAACCTCATATAAATTCTAAACAATTTTAATAATGTCACATTAGTTGTTTGTGATTCTACCTCTGATTTTTTGAACAATTTTTTAACATTGCCTCCCCCACAAAAATAATTGAATATACATGAACATCCAGGATGGATATAAGATAAAACAATCTAAAACAAGCTTTATAATGTGAGTAGCATCCATCACAACTAAGGGCAGTTTTAATCGGGTTGAGAAAACTCTGTTTATTGCCTTCTAATACTACTTCTTCGGATTAAAAAAAAAAATTCTCTTTTTTTTTTTGATTATTGACATTATGCTAGTAAGCATACCCAACACGACCAAATTGCCAAAAATAATGCAATCAACTAAATTTCACTCATCTCATCTAGAAAGAATTCAACATGGATTAACCAAGATTTCTAAGCAAAGAGTTGAGACTTTAAAAATCAAACCCACACTGTCAATAAAAAATATAGTTTTATAATTCTTTTTTTAGTAAATTATAATTTTACAGTTTTTATAATCTTATTGGGTCTCATTCGTGTGCCTTCAGCATGCTTAGCATTTATAAATATCCAGTTGATAAGCAATTGAACTCTACACTTAAATTGTAGGATATCTCATATATGTATTCTTTTTTTTTTGCCGTCTTCCGATTATATTAAAACCCATGAAGGGTAGACCAGTTTACAAACTTATCGGGCCCAAACGTAACCCATTAACCTAATTACAATCGATGAACATGTGTACACAACGTGTAAGCAAACCAAAGCAAAGAGAATACACGTGTTTGCCGACAAGAATAACTATTGCAGCGCCGCTACCACCGCCGGTTTTAGCCACCACTGACGCTTTCCGACAAAGAACCACCACGAAACTGCTTAGCTCTTGAAACCCGCTCCTTCCTCTAACATCTAATCGCCGGAAGCTAAATAATCAGCTCAACTTTTTCACCAGAAGTGATGTCCAGGGACTCGCCGGAAAAGTTGAAACAGAGAATTCGCGGGACCGCTGCAAAAGACTTTGCTCCAGGAGACGCCAGCTCTACCTACTCCACTCCATCTCTTCCAATTCAAACTCCGAAATCTTGATTTGGGACTTCCCACAGAGAGACTCCGCCTTCCGCCTTTAACAGTGACGAAGATGATTAATCTCCGAAAAGAAAGAAATCAAGCATAACTTATGAAAAAGAGAGACTAATTAAAAGTTTCTGAAATTCAACATAACACATGCAAGAGGGTATTTTATAACAAAACTTCCGATAAACGGAAACAAACACCTAAACAAAGATCCGAAAGAATCGGATTTTATTATCCGAAGATCGAAAAACTACATAACAAAATAATCGCTCTCTCTCTCTGAATAATACGAAAGAAAGAAGAGAGAGACCCTGATTTTTATTATCATAGATGTATAACTTCTTTTCTAATATTATTAAAATGATTATTTAAATAATAATAAAATATACACTTTTTTCTTTTTGACTGTAATAAAAATATAAACACATATTAATAAATATATGTCTATTTTTCTCAGTATTTACACAGTTAATATGGTTTAATTTAATTTAATTTCCTTTATCATTTTATTTATACAGTAACCACCAAAATTATATATATGAATAAGGAAGAACTTTCTCCAACTGCTCTCTTATCCGAAAAAGTCGGTAATTCAGATAGAGTAGGGTCGGGTCATAAAATGCACATAGGACTGTTATATTCAGATCCATTTCGGCCTTTCCCTATCACGCTCCCTTCCCCGATCTGTAATCTCCGGAATGAAGAAATGGTTCGTGATCGCAGCCACAGTGGCGATAATCGCCGTAATCGTGAGACAAGGCGCCGGATCGAACAAAGAAGCGGCGTTAGAAGCTTTGAAAGATTGGTCTAATCGGCTCGGGATTTGGGCGATCCCGACGTACGTAGCGGTTCACACCGTAACCCTAGCTTTATGCCTCCCTCACGCCGTCTTCTTCGAAGCTGGTGCTTCTATGCTCTTCGGTTTCCTCCCTGCGCTTATTTGTGTCTTCTCCGCTAAAGTTCTCGCCGCTTCATTCTCCTTCTGGATCGGCAGGTCTGTGTTTAAGCATCAAATTGATTGGTTTATTGGCTTCAAATTGTGTTTAAGCATCAAACTGGTTTGGATTCTGATTCTCCTTAGTTTAATCATCAAAACCATCTGAATCTTCTCATTCCCTTTACCCATTTGGCTTCTCATATGTCCTAGAAACTCTATGCTTCATTACTACAGAACTTTTCTAGAAAGTTTTGGTACACATCGATTCAACTGTAAGCTCGATAGGAGAATGATTTCATTGTTGGTTATCGGAGAAGATGCTTGTCTTCAGATTCTTCTCTGTTTAACCATCAAAACATCCGGAGACTATATGACTTATCATGTTTCCTTGAAACTATTTGTTTCATTGCTATGCCACACTCTTGCCTTAGTTTATGTTATCGTTTTTGTGTAGTTTAAGCTTTTACTTGTTGATATATTAAATAATCTCTTTGCGTTGGTTTAGATTTCCCGTAGTGCACCATTGCGGAAACTTTATACAGAACTTTTCTAGAAAAACTTTTAGTTCGATAAGAAAATGATTTCATTGTTGGTTATCAGAGAAGATGCTTGTCTTCAGATTCTTCTCTGTTTATTCATCAAAACATCTGGAGACTAAATGGCTTATCATGTTTCTTAGAAACGATATGCTTCATTGCTATAAAAACACTCTTGCCTTAGTTAATTGTTATCCTATTATGTGTAGTTTAAGCTTTTACTTGGTGAGATAAAGGATAATCTCTTTTGCTTTGGTTTAGATTTTCCTGGTAATATAACCATTGCTGAAACCTTATACATAATATTTCTAGAAAAACTGTAAAATTGATAAGAAAATGATTATCAGAGAAGATGCTTGTCTTTAGATTCTATAATGTTCTTTGTCTTGTTGATGTAATGGAGAAGTAAGAAGAACTGTTAGATGCGTGTTGTGATTCTATTTACCCAAACATAGGCTGGAGAATGCATTATTGTGCAATGTTAACATGTATCATTTGTAATTATCCCTTTGGAGCATTTCCCATTCTCTCATACATACGTTTATATGTTTTCATCAGGTTTGTTTTCAAGAGTTCAAGCTCAGCAACAGCATGGGCACATAGAAACAAATACTTCAACATTCTCTCAAGAGGAGTCGAGCGAGATGGTTGGAAGTTTGTTCTTCTCGCAAGGTTCTCGCCTATCCCTTCCTATGTTATAAACTACGCGTTGGCAGCCACGCAAGTCCGGTTTCTATCTGATTTCCTCTTCCCCACGGTTATCGGCTGCCTCCCGATGATCTTGCAGAACGCATCAGTCGGTAGCCTCGCTGGTTTGGCCGTGGCTTCAGTAGCCGCCGGAAAACCAAAAACTCAGGTCTGGGGTTATGTCTTCCCGGTACTTGGTGTACTGTCAAGTGTTATGATTACAATGAGGGTCAAAAAGTACTCAGCTGGAATTACAGAGGTGTCATCAGAAACCTCTCCTTCTGCTAACAGCTCTAGTTTAGCTTCGTCTGAAGCCGCGAATCCCGCTTATGGAACCGATGGATCCAAGAAAAGTGAGTGATGATGATACAGAACATTATGGCAGTTTTTGATCGGGCATATACATTTTTTTTTGGTTTGCAGAGATCAGATTCTGAACATCGTGGCTTGTGTTGTGGAACTAGGCAGTAATATCTTGAAAAGGAACAGAGTATTAGCTTTTGTACTTCTTGAACAGAACACTAAACTTTCTTGAATTGAAGTTTATAGTTGGTTGCATGGAAACAAAGCATAATGATCATGATCTAATCTCCGAAACATGCCTATAAATTCTTTACCTAATAAAAACAATAACTCAAATATTTTGTCGAACCAAGTTGTATGTAGAGTATATATTAACTTGCTTAATGCCGCAAGCAAACCCTGGTTTCTGCTACATTTTGTATATAATATATGAAGAAAAAAGCTTTTGATTTGGTTAGAGTTGTTTCTCAATGTAGCAGTTTACTCACCATTTTCAATCTTCAATTTCATAAAACACAAGACAACGCTTGGTGCCGAGTACCGAGTATAGAGTTGTTGGTTGAAAGACTTACCTAATATTGTGGTACAATGAGATCATATGTGAGTGTAGGCACATGGATTCGTTCTTGGAGTTGGTACAAGACTTCAAAAAGACAAAGAGGAGGTTTAAAGGACAAGTTGACTATGTCTCTCTCTTCATCTAAAGATTCTAAAATTAAGGATTTGGTAAACTGGGAGCAGTTGATGGATCTCTTCAAGTATAAAACCCCAAGAGAACCCTCACCACTTTCTACACAACTCTCAAGTAACAAAAATGGCTATCTTAAAGCTAATTCCTCTTCTTGTGATCATTGCTTTGTTTTCTTTTGATCTTGGTGTTGCTCATCCAGGTTTTGGGTTCGGATGGGGAAGTAATGGCCCCAACATTGGAAGAACTTTCTCCTCAGGTCTTTTCCCACAATTCTACCAGTTCTCTTGTCCACAAGCTGATGAGATTGTCATGACGGTTCTTGAAAAAGCCATAGCTAAAGACACAAGAATGGCTGCTTCTTTACTCAGGCTTCACTTCCACGACTGCTTTGTCCAGGTTCTGTATATAAATGTCTGATTTATTTTGTTTTTCCTTGATCAATGTCTCATATGCTTAACAGTTGTCACTACTTGTGTAAAACAGGGATGTGATGCATCAATCTTGTTGGATGATAGTGCTACCATAAGAAGTGAAAAGAATGCAGGACCAAACAAGAACTCCATTAAAGGGTTTCAAGTAATCGATGAGATCAAAGCAAAACTGGAGCAAGTTTGCCCTCAAATTGTTTCCTGCGCCGACATTCTAGCTCTTGCTGCTCGTGGTTCAACTATGCTGGTAACTAAAGATAACTTGACCTTCAAGAATTTTTTTTGATTACATAGCTTTTGATATCTGAATGAATGGTTCAATATAGAGTGGTGGACCATCATGGGAGCTTCCACTAGGGAGGAGAGACTCGAGGACAGCGAGCCTCAATGGTGCAAACACGAATATTCCTGCACCTAACTCGACTATTCAGAATCTTTTAACAATGTTCCAACGCAAAGGTTTAAACCAAGAAGACCTTGTTTCCCTATCAGGTGAGCTTAACATGTACATTTTTCTTTTGTTATAGTGGTTGGCATGGAACGGAACAGAACCCGAAGTTAGTAGTGCAACCAAAAGATTTGTCAGTTAATATTTTTAATATAAATATATACCAAACATTACTTAAAATTATACTAAAAAATCTATAATACTTCCTCCCATTCAAATGAAGTTTGGTTGTAGGATTGCTTTTTTTTTTTGTTGTTTCACAATAAGTGATGTTTTCGATTTCAATAAAAAAATTTTTGACACAAAATAGTCAATCTAACCGCAAGATTAGATTAATAATTGAACATAATACCAAGAGTCAATTGTTCTTAATTGTATACTGTATCCGTTTAGAAAGGTTAATTTTACTAGGTGTTTTTTTTTTCTAGGAAGATAAATAATTTAGGTTTATAAAATTTTTTAAATTTATTATTAGTTTAGAGCCAGAAGAAATTGTTTAACACAAAAGTTTAAACATTTATAATTGATTTTTTTTTTTTTAACATGTATGAAAACTCTAATATATTTCTCACATATATTTATGTGAAAAATATCAAAGCGATAATTATGTGAAACAAATGAAGTAGTAACCTACTAATGGATTTTGTTAAGTTATTCATATAAAACCAAACTTTTGAAGCCGAACCCTAAAAACTAATTGGGATTTGTGTTTCATTTGCAGGAGGACATACAATTGGAGTAGCGAGGTGCACAACATTCAAACAAAGGCTCTATAATCAAAACGGTAATAACCAACCAGATGAGACGCTAGAGCGATCATACTACTACGGTCTGAGATCGATTTGTCCACCAAGTGGTGGTGACAACAACATTTCACCTCTAGACTTAGCCTCTCCTTCAAGATTCGACAACACATACTTCAAGCTCATCCTTTGGGGAAAAGGCTTATTAACATCAGACCAAGCGCTTCTCACTGGCAACGTAGGCAAGACTGCTGAGTTAGTGAAAGCTTATGCTGAAGACGAGAGCCTCTTCTTCGAGCAATTCGCAAAGTCGATGGTAAACATGGGGAATATTCAGCCACTTACTGGTGTTAATGGTGAGATCAGGAAGAACTGCCACGTGATTAATTAAAAAAATTAACACCTCAGTTTCTGTGTATTAATATTGTATTATGGGATGATGAGGAATAAGTCGTGTTATGTTTTTCCTATATGTTAGAGATGCGATGTGTTTGAATGAAAACGAACGGTTGTTTCAAGAAGTAGACATAAAATACTTTCTTCTTGTTCTATATTCGTTGTTTAGTTCACATCCGTCTTTAAAACATTAATATTCACTGTTTTCATATTCATGCAAGTGCGGTTTAAGTAACAAATATTACAAAACAAAGAATAGTAATATTTGGTTTGTCTTATCCGTTAATCATTTCAATTTATACTAATAGATTAAGAAATGAATCAAACCAATAGAAACAAGGATGGACATATAAAGAAATTAGATAACTAATTATAATGATAAATAGATAACTAATGATAAACAAACCCATAAAACGGAGTAGTTCTGCCATAGGCAACACGCATGTGGTTGATAATAGATAATCTCAAACTTGCAAACGATGCTCAATCGAGGAAGAAACAACGCAACATTTATTCTTTCAGTGTCTGTATGCTCAATCGATATGGAGAGGAGCCAGCTTTCTGTCCATGCAATTCTTCGATGCCGCAACAACACTAGCAACAAAAATGCAACTCTGCCTAAATAATATTCCATCTCAATGGTCTTATATCAAAGAGCTACCAATATGGATTCTATAGCGTCTATTGAAGAGCAGAAATCTCCTTATATTCCAATGGTAAAATATTCTGTGGCAAAAAAGTTTACAATCAGCAAGAAGGGACTTCAAAGAATGAACGGATATGGAAGATTATTTACGCTTTACCCAAATTGTAGCAAGACAACAGAGACTATACAACAATCCAACAGGAGTTGGCAGAAATTCAGCAACCAGAAGCGTACCAATCTCAAAGAAAAAATGGCAAAAGCCACCAGCAACATGGATGAAATGCAACGATGATGGATCTTTTATAAATTCAGATACATGTTCGCAAGCTGGATGGGTTATACGAAATGATAATGGATCATTTAAAGGAGCAGGACAAGCACAAAGGCATAGAGTATCATCAGCCTTTGAGGGTGAACTACAAGCACTACTTATGGCCATACAACATTGTTGGAGCATCGGATACAAAAAGGTCATTTTTGAAGGCGATTGCAAGAGAGTCTCAAACGTAGTACAAGGGAAAAAACTGAATTTCAGAATGCATAATTGGATTAGAGATATCCGATGCTGGACATCTCGATTTGAAGATGCCAAATTTGAATGGATACCGAGGGAAGCAAACTATGCCGCAGATATAATGTCAAAGCATCGAATACCAAAAGATACATCGTTTCATTACTATAACATTATTCCTCAGAGTATAAAAAATACTCTTGAAACAGATAATGTAAACACTATTTAAATTTATTTAAGAGAAAAAAAAAATACTTTACTTTTTGGTATATCATTGCTTTTTAGTAAATGTTAACCAATAAAAATTTATGAATTTAAATAATTTTAGTTACTTTTATTGAAATCTACAAAAAACTGTATTTAATATCTTAAAACATCAATCTTTGTGGAACAAAAAAAATATCCAAAACATCAATCTTTGTGGAACGGAGGGAGTATGTTTTTAACAAAATTAATAAATGGCAAATCATGTTCAGCTTTAAATATTACTCCAACAAGCGATGGCCATTGATCTTAATGAGCTTTGGTTTCATGAGATTAATGTTTGACTCGACTAGTTTAGGTCAACGACTTTGTATTGGACTTTTTGTGGGCCGGATCCGGACCACAATGGACATTATCTACACCGGACCATGAATATAATCCGAAATCTCCAAAATATAAATAAATAAAGTATATAAAAAAACGTTATCAACCCAACAATAACCCATAAGTCTCTCTATGGTTTGACACATCAACATTTTCAAGCTTTTAGGAGATAACACTTCAGCAAAAAAAAACACCAATAAAAACATTTCATTAATACAAGTCATCAATATATTTTAACTTTTAAATTTAAACCCATTAAAAACCCAAATATTTTTTATTGTTAATTTTAGTTTTATTTTTTGGTCAAGCTCAAGCCTAAATAATAAACAACAGCAAATAAAAAAATATGTTTTATTTTTTTTGCCAAACTCAAATAATAAATAACAGCAAATAATAAAATTAAATCTTTGTTTTATATTTTTGCCAAACCGAAACTAAAATAATAAATAACAGCAAAAAAAATTAAAATTTCTACCTATGTGTTTGCTTGATAGATACGTATATGATTGAAGAAAGTGTAGACTCATCATCAACTATGCTTCCATAACAACAATGCAAAAAGCGTTATGTTATAAGAAGCTCACACATCAGCAAAAATTTGAACCAATAAAAACATAACAATAGTACATATTATTAACACACTAACAAAATCAATTTACTATTTTGCTGACCCATTAAAAAGTCCAAAGTTTACAAAAAAAAAATGGAAGACGAAAGCAAATGAGGAGAAACTCAGACCACCACAGCTTGGAGATTCGCATTTCTACTGGTTACCGAGAACAAATTTTCTTGGGTTTGGCGGAAATAGAGAATTTCTTGGTTTTGGTAGAAAAATGTGATTTTTAATTTTGGTAGGAAAACATAGTTTCTCGGGTATGGCAGAAAAAAGTGAATTCTCGGGTTTGGCAGAAAAATGTGAATTTTTGGTTTTGGTGAGAAATAAAAAATTTGATTTTGACGAGAAAATGCGAGGGAAATGCAACTTTTCAATTTTGACGAAAAATACGATTTCTCAGTTTTGATAGAAAATGCAATTTTTTGGCTTTTGATGGATAATGTAATTTCTTGATTTTTGCGGAAAATTGTAATTTGACAATTTTGGCAGAAAATGCAATTTTTTGGGTTGATAGAAAAGCAAAATTTCTCGATTTTGGCAGGAATAAACAATTTTTGGTTTTGATGGGAAATGCAAATTTTCAGTTTTTGACATATAATTTGATTTTTTTGATTTTTGAGGGCAAATATGATTTCTTATTTTTTGCGGAAAACGCAATTTCTCATGAGATAATGCAATTTTTGGTTTTCGCGGAAAATTGTAGTTTATCGGTTTTGGTAGGAAGACGTGATTCTTGATTTGACGAGAAAAATATTTTTTTTCTTGTTTTGGTGGGAATAGAAGATTTTTGCAGAAAAATATCTTTTTGGTTTGACGGGAAAATACTATTTTTTTTTGTTTTTGCACGAAGATGAAATTTTTTGTTTTTGGTGAAAAAAACTTAATTTCTCTGTTTTGACAGGAAAACACAGGTTCTCGCGGAAAAATATGATTTTTTGGTTTTTGAGAGAAAATGTAATTTCTTTGCTTTGGTAGGAAAATGAAATTTCAGGTTTGACGAGAAAATGATTTTTTTTTTGGTTTTGGCGGGAATATGCGATTTCTTAGTTTTGTGGGAAAATATTTTTTTGTTTTGTCGAAAGTTGCAATTTTTTGGTTTTTGTAAAATGATAAATTTTCTCTGTGCTAATTTTTAAAGTTACAATATATTTATAGTAACCAAAATTGAATTATTTAACTTCAACTAAATTGATATTTCAACAGTTCAAATAGAACTTTCTATTTAGTTCTAAAGTAATAGTAGTGATTTTGATATGAATTTATTGATTATAGTTTGGTAGTTTTAGAAACATATGTCTATAATAAATATTTGATAAACAAATAAATTTTATAGTTTAAAATAATTATATTAATTAATATTTTTTTAAATGACAATTTGCTTTATATAATTTCAAAAGAGGATCAAGTAGCAATTTCGTAGAGAAAATAAATTATATTTACCATTAGCATGAAAGTATTTAAAAATGTATTGTTTTATTCTTACATATACATTTATAGATAGTTAGCTAAACAAATTTGATAGTAGATTAAAATTTTAAAAAATTAAAACATTAATGATATATACTATTTATTCAGATTTAAAACATATAAATACATGACTTAAGCTAATAAAAAATAAATAAAATACTTATTTACATTATAGAAATAATTTTATTATATTTAAAATATATATAAATCTAGAAAAAATATCCCGCAACTTAGCGCGGTTAAATACCTAGTATTTATAATGCTTAAGAAAACCCATCGCTCAAGAAAAGAAATACTACGAGTGTATAAATAACTTTAAAAAGAAAATAAATGAAATAATATATAAAAGTTTGATAAAAATTGCTGCTTTCGGTCAAGTTTTTGAGATCTGCGGGGACTGAATAGTGTAGAAGAAGGATGAGCGACGGAGAGGAAGCTGTTAGACGCCGTACCGCGGCGGTGGCCGAGTACCGGAAGAAGCTTCTACATCACAAGGAGCTCGAATCTCGTGTCCGTACAGGTTCGATTTCTAAAAAACCATCCTCATTCTCTCACCTCGCTCCTACTATCTCTGGGCTTCGTTTGAAAGCTCTGTGTAAAACTGAATTTAGGGTTCATCAAAAATCTTTGAACTTTCTTCTGCTTGACGCGATTCTAGGGATTCTGGATAGTAATTTTGAATTCGATAAAGAGTTCTATTGATTTGCCTAGTTGGGTTTTGTAATTGAGATTATAATTCTGGGTTCTTGTGCTTATGCAGCTAGGGAAAATCTAAGAGCATCTAAAAAGGAATTCAACAAAACTGAAGATGATTTGAAGTCTCTTCAAAGCGTTGGACAGATTATCGGAGAAGTATTACGCCCACTAGATAACGAAAGATGTAATTTTTCTGTCTCTACTCTTATGTTTGTTTAGCGTTTCTCTGTACTACACTTTGTGTTCTATCATCTCAAGGTTGAAATTTTTCTTCAGTGATTGTTAAAGCAAGCAGTGGCCCTCGTTATGTCGTTGGTTGCCGTAGCAAGGTTGACAAGGAGAAGCTGACCTCAGGAACTCGCGTTGTCCTCGATATGACTACGCTAACGATTATGCGAGCTCTTCCCCGTGAAGTAGGCTTTGACATTTTTGGCATTCCTTCTCTTTAGTGTAGTGTTTGTAGTGGCTTTAATGTGGTTTCTCTTCTTGATGATAGGTCGATCCTGTTGTTTATAACATGTTGCATGAGGATCCAGGCAACATTAGCTACTCCGCGGTTGGTGGTTTAGGTGATCAGATTAGAGAACTCAGGGAATCTATTGAGCTACCTCTTATGAATCCTGAGCTTTTCCTTAGAGTAGGGATTAAACCTCCTAAGGTACTTACTTAATCCTCTCTTCAATCGTCTAATGCTGTCATAAACTATCTC